ATCACTATGCTCTAGCATCAGCAGTATCAAAGCAGCACCTGATGTGTATTAGAGCAGTCATACCCTTCAAAAAATTTAAAATAGCTATAGGGAAATTTTAATGGCTGTTCTTAAGCTTTCTGCATGTAAATCTTTCTGCTCTAGCCATTATCGGTCGACCAGGTCAGGTTTCATTGGGCGTTTTCTTCAGCATGATACTGACTAAATGCAGAATTGAGATCACAGAGGTTGAGATCATCTGTGGTAAGGGCAAGAATTCTGACTGCAACCCCAATGAAGTCAGAATACACACACACAATGACTCTTACTTGGGAAATACAGTAAGGTTGTCAATTACAGACTAACAAACCCTTAGTCTACTCAAATTAAAAAACAGAAACAACAAAAACCCCAAACCCAGCACACCCAGCCCCAGCAATGCACTTCCACTCCATTTCTCATCACCGTAACTCACTTGAATATCTTTAGCTGTTTGAACTAAAAATCTGCTATTGAATCACTCTCATCTGCTATGTACACGTTTACCAAAGATTGCCAGCCCCAAATAAAAAGTTTTAGAAGTTGGTCAGATGTTGGAGTCCTACAAAAATGAGGTTCTAGAACACCATGCTATAATAATATGACAGGAAGGAGAATCTTTTTGACATATACATTTTGCATGAGGCTATAAACACTTTAGGAGCAGGCTATAAGCTACAAAGATCATTATTTAAAACTACTTCACCTTTGAACACAGCTCGTACACACATTTGCTTCTACATCAAGTCTCAAATCTCACCTGAACATGAATGGGCACTCCAAACAGTAGTTCCCAAAGATACAGTGAAGGTCCATAAAGAAGAGTGTCTGGGTTGCCTACTATACAAACCTGGTGGGTAAGAGAGCTTCTAACAGCAGGAAAGCTCCAACCATTTTCCATTTACAGTCACGGGAGTTGTCCATTAATTTCAAAGGGAGAAGAACATACATGCCACTCCTTTTCATACAAAATTCTTAAATAACATGAAAATTTCTGCATTTTGTCACTCCTTGGGGAAACGTGATACTTAACAACACCTGCACACAATGAGTATCCAAATGAAGAAGTCATAAAGAGCCAGCTGCCCTTTATTTAAAATGCCCTTTGCAAAAAACTTGCCATACATTCTTTTGAGAGAAGCATAACCGTCAGGAATCCCATAGCCACAGAATTCAACATCATCTCCAGAAACGTAAGCATCAATAAAGCCTGAGCATCATGTTGAGAATAACCACACTTGTATTGAAAATGAGGTCGAGAACACTGCACGGTTACAATCACAGAGACTAGGATTTCAACAACACGCTTTCTTGCAACAGAACAAGCTTGGATTTTTAAAAATACAATCATTATGTACAGGAAAATATGTGGCCATAAGACCAGCCTTAAAGTAAGGCCTTGTTTACACAATTTCTGCATTGTCAGGAAGTATTTTGGCCGGGAATGTAATTTTTCTTCCAAATCAATTAAATATTTGCAGTTCTCACTGTGAAAAGAGCTATATACCACCTTTGTATTGACACGGGTATAACATATTCCCACAGGGAAAAGGAATAAAAGAGTACCTTTATATTGATACAACATTTTCCTCAAGTGTAGAAGCTAATATAGCTTTCATTATTCAGTCAAGTTAAAGCAGTATGACTTTTTCCTACTTTATAGACAAGGCCTATGTGTAACAAGCACCAAAACACTTCAGAGTATTTGGAAGATCAGACTACTGAGTTCTACTTTTTGTACTGTCCTCACCAAGTCATAGAGAACATTGAACATCTAAATACATTCAAAACTTTGATTAGACCCATGCCATGGTTTCTTAAACGCTTCACTGTTTAATGAACACACCTTTTCGGCAAGAACCAGAATATATCTACAAGAAAGCCCAGCATAATCCAGAACTTATTAGGCTGCTTTCAGCTGCTCTGCTAGGCCGAGAAAAACTGGACTTTATGTGCCGCTGTGTGCTACAAACACCCATTTTTGCATCATTCCTTAATCACAACACTGGCAGTAAGGAAACAGGAGGCACTAGAAAACATGAAGAATCTGCTATCTGTTGGGGAGAACATAATAAATACCTGCTTTTATTAAGCGGAACAAGTTGCTTTCAATACACTGATCTAGAGCAAGGCCTGTTGGGTGCTAAAAACTGTATAGTCCCATTGAATTTTAAGGCAAAACTGAACCATAGCAATAGTCAAGATGTAAATTTATGGCATTTTTTTTTAAAACTTCAGACATGGAAGTTTTTTAAACTACAAACATGGCGGTGGTCAAGCTTTCTTAGTTTTCAATGCAGTATTTTTGTTAGAAGAAGCCCTTACTTCTAATACGGAAGTCCTCAATGAGCTGGCTTCTAATTAATTTTTAGAAATTTATGGAAGATAACCTGCAAAGAGGTTTTCGGTTTTCATTTAAAAACGGGGGGCTGGATCAATTTGTCTGTTATACAAAGGCCCCAAGCAGACGTTGAGGGACCATCACTAGGGTTGCCTTCTCCAACCCTCTTTGTTTTTAACTGTGATTGTATCAGTCTGACTGATACAACCTGACTGATTGTATCAGAACAGGTCCTTGCTGTTTTAAAGGATACATGTGAGCTCAGGAGAGGAAATATGTTCAATACTTAAGTATACAATCTTTTCCAAATTTTCAGTACATACTGGATGTTGCTAAAAGAAGCATCCAATTTTCAACTAAAATATAAGATTATAATTTTCATTTCAATCACTGTGATTTCAATACATAGAATTAAACTAATACTAAACACTTCCAGTGCTGAAGCAGAAAGTTTTCCTACTTAAAAGAAATTATCACACTCACGGTAGGAGTCTTGGCAGTTAGTTTTCAGTTGGCCTGATTAAAAACCCCTTTACACATCATTGCTCAACTTTTGCTTTCATGTTGTAAGATAATTTCAAGTCTTCTTGGGATGGGGGGGGGGAAGAGAAGGAAAAAAAAAGAAAAGGAAAAAAAAAGAGTTGCAGGTTTTATGTGCTAATCCTTAAAGAAGGTGCTAAGAGAGGAAGATAATGGAGGTAAACAAACTCCTTATATCTTCCAAATGACAGAAGGTACAGCTCTCCTCCCAGCCCAACCCCTCTGCAAACCAGAAAAGAAATACTGGTCTGATGTATAGTTTAAAGAGTTATAATGCAATGAGATTAAAAGCTTAAATTTTATAAATAATCGACCTTTAGAATTTTACCCCAATAAACCATGCTGTTCCCAGTAAGGAATAAGGACCTAATCTTACAAGTCCTTTTGCAGTAAAGCCACACTACCTTCCTAAAGCTGCCTACTGAATACAGCGTTCCACTCACATGCTGGCATCACATAGGGTCAGGACCTAAACACAAATGAAAAACTGTATTAAAAATGACTAAATATTAGGCAAAATAGCAATCTTGTGGTTTGTCCTTATTTTTTTTTTTAAAACACTGTCCTTAGCTAAATCGAGCCCCCTCCCCGCCTTTCACTTCTATTAAGATATAAATCAGGATTAACAGCCTATGTGAAAGTTAGTGTTTCATGTAATACATAAAAGCGCACAAAGTTGTTTTCTAAAAAACAGCATTTGTATTAAAATTCTTAAAATGGATAGACATCTCTTAAATGCATGTCTGGAATTAAAATGACAGTTGTTAGAATTTTCTTGGTACATCACAACGATAAGATTTCCTTCTTTGCTGGCTGGAGGTACACCCCACAACAAAACCAAAGGGGGGGGGGGCAAAAAAAAAAAAAGCGCAAGCCCCCGCCCCCCCCCAAAATCCCAAGAGGCTAAATTCTTGTAAATTTGAAGTAAATGAAGCCCGAACTTGCAAGACATGGAAATAACAGTTAAAAGGCTCAGATGGAAATAAGAAATAAATTCCACTAACAATAGGCCCTTTTGTCCTGGCTTGTTCGGTACGATTACTGCAAGGAAACTGTTAAGTAGTTTTTGGAGTAGTAGATAATGGGATTCTGTGGAGCTTTCACAGGTTGGCACCGGCTGGAACAGCTGAGTTTTGAAGGCACTCTACAGACACAGGGTTGCTGTTGGCCCTGCATCACATATAGGAAGTCTTTGCACTTTAGAGAGCTAGTCATCAAAATCAGTTATTGCCAACCCCAAAAGAAAAACCCTCGGAACAAAAACACCACCGCTCCCACCCGCCAAAGAAAAATTAAAATAGAAACGAAATCACACACACATGCACACCCAAAAAATTGTGCAGATTTGTAACATTTTCACAGCTGATTTAAAAAAAAAACAAAACAAACAAAAAACAGGAAAACCCCAACACGCTACCACTCTCCTGCAAACTCCCATCCGATACAGCAGGTAAACAAAATAGAAAATTATTTCACGGATATTCATCAGCAGACACTTTCTGGCACCCCACACTGTATTGGCATCAGTGTTTTAAGTTAAAAGTCCCAGTTCAAGATGTGCAATTCTCCAGGCTGGACGCCCCGGCACAACCACCCAACTTTGCATAGAGATCCTGGGGGCGGGCGGCGGGGCGCTCCACGCGTGGCCGCGGGGGGAGGGCTCCTCACGGGGGGCCGCGGTTTCTCCTCACGCCTGTCCCGGCGGGGCGGGGTGTGTGTGTGGTGTGTTCCCGCCTGCGCCCCGCTCTTCCAGGCGGGCAGGGACCGCTCCTCGCCGAAGCCTTCCTCCCCCGGGCCCGCTGCCGGCGCAGGGCGGCAGCCCGCGGCAGCCCCTGACAGGAAATATGCAACGACCAAGACTGGACGAAACGTACATGCCGAAAAAAGCCACATTTCCAACACGATTTTTTTTTTTTCCGATTTTTCTTTTTTTTTTTTTTTTTT